CTATTTTGAAATAGGTTCTTAAACTTATTTTTATTAAAACATAGAACAGTAAATAAAGAAGTAAAGCAAACAATTATCTCTTCTAGTACTCGGTTGCTGCATCACGTAGGTTGCAAGTGGGAAGATATGAAACAAAATAATTTTTTTAGGTTTATACATACATTTGAATAACTACAAATCATAAATTACAACATTAATACCATAGAATTCCACTATAATTTATCAAGCTTAGTAACTAAGATGTATTTTAGTCTAAAAAATATGAAATTTCGAGCAGACTAAAGACACACCCTACCTCGTTGAAATATTGGTTCAAAAGAAAGAATTGGCACAAAGTTCATTAAAATGGCTGAGAAAGCCACTAGAGGGACATTCTGAGCTTCCGATTGGTTATTCATGTCATATATAGAAGTAAGTGTATATAAGGGAATGTTTCCAAAAATGGAAAGAGATGGGTGGGATGCTGCTGTGTTTGGTTTATTAAATGAGCAATATCATAGCAAATTGAAAAGATAAGATGCTCTTATTTTGTATTCTATCTTATCAGTATTGATAATTTGAGTTTCTAATTTGTATGAAACTATAGACTTAGTATTTTGACATCACAAACATCTAAATTGAACCAGTGCTGCATTCAACATACCACATTTTAATATTTGCTTTTAAATTAAGAAATTGAGTAATATATAGTACTAAAATTTGAATTATAATCCACAGTTTGATACCAAAGTTATTGACATAAATTCATGAAATAGTAGTACAATAAAATTCTGAATGTGAGTCAGCAAACAAAATGACATTGCCTTTCACCCATGACCCGTCTTGAAATGGTTAAAGCTCAATGAGCTATGTTGATGATTTTAACCTATTCCAGCCTGGTTGAATGTAACTGACTATCTCTAACCTTGCATTAATAAGATTTATATCTCATAAACATTACCACATCTCAAATGGAAACACTTGAAATATACAGCATGATACCATAGGACATTTTAAAATGTTTTAATTTTTTGATCAATTTATAATGAAATACAAACTGCTACATAACATAGGCCATACTGTGCTGACAAACATTATGCTGTGACAGTTTATCTGAAAGCCATTTTCAGTTTGTACTTATATGGAAACAATGCTATACAGAGGTCTTGTATATCACAAAACTTTGTTTCATTAAAGACTGATATCAGACATTCTTTTAGCAGTCGACAACAGTCTGTATCAATACAAGAATTGGTAAAGCTTTACATAATGTGAATGATGTAAACATTGCCTTTTGCAAAAGATATGGATCCAAAACTCTACAGTTATGCAGTTTCTCGATATGCCTTTCTTTATGCATATCACTTAAATGACTTATAATGTTAGATGACATAATATTAAAAGAATTTATTTTTCACCCAAAACAAATTTTACACTTGACATCCAATGTGAACAAGTAAACTATAGACCATGCCTTTTGAAAGACCTCTGTAAGCCTAATGATGTCATGCAGCAGTCCATTTTATTAAAAAATATTGTTGCTATGAATATTGTGTAAGTCATTAAAAACTAATACAAATATATATCATATTCCATCTTATGTATTATGAGTCATCTATGTAGCCCAAGAGCTTTAAACAAGATAAACATTTATGTTAAAACCTATTAAGTTAATTTATTGTTTTAGCCTTGGAATACAAGCAACACAAAACCATTATTTCAAGGCACTAACACCAATATAGCCATGAGACAAATAAAGTGAAAGTTTAAAACAATTTACAATTACAAGGAAAGAAGGGATTTTTATGGCATATAGATTGTTAAAAAAAATAATCCCAGCTTTTGGATGATATATATATATATATATATTTGTTTTTATTAGCTTCAGAAACCTTGAAGATGTAAAAACGTTTAGAAAGTATCAAGAAAACTTACAAAAATCAAAAATTAGAGCCAATAGTTTTGATTTCTTTAAATTACATTATCAATAATATGTTATTATAATTTTATATGGTAATTACTTTGAGGGGAGAGCTCAGAATGATTTCTTCAAACTTCATGTTGTTTTGCCTCTAAAAATGAGATACTGAGCTGGAAAGGGTTAAATTCAGTAGATGGTTACTTCAAGCATATTTAGCTACACTAAACTTAGTATTTGCTTTAACCATATCACCACGAGTATCCTTTACTGCGCATGACACAAGGTTTTAGTGTCTTATATTCAAAATTTTATTAAACTACTTTTTCATTTATGTTATACCAATTAGAATAGCATAAAATCTTAGCTAATAACCCATATTTTAATAGTATGCAAGTTTTAAGTTCTAAGTTCTACAAGGCAATATATAAAAGAAAAACTGATTTCCCTAGTGTGACCCACATGACACATTTTCTCTTAGCATGTCATTTTCCCTATTTTATCCACCACCCCTTGAAAAAGCACGAAATTACTCTCTAAATTTGTCATTGCTCAGACAAACCATAATTTTTATAGTCTTCAATTTTGTTTGGTTACAGAGCTGTCAAATAGAAAATCAGACCTCCTGCCATGCCTACCTGTCACATCCTCTTTCAGAATTTGTTAATAGTTGTTTTTTACATTTAATTATATATTACCTATAACCAATAGAAAATCAAGGTATTCTTCTATCAAATGACATATGGTATGACATTATGTACTGAACGGTTAAATTTCAATTTCACTCAAGAGTACCAACATCATTCCCGTGAGAAAGATAATGACTAGCTTGGATGAATTTGTAGTAACTCTTGTTGCATAGTTAGAAAGCCAGAAAAATTTTGAGAGGTAAAGGAATTTGTCTACTTTTTGTATGTTATTAGTCTATATTCTTTGATGCATTTTTTAATTAAATAAAAAATTAAGTGCATTACTATCATTAGTATAAAAAATTAGGGTTAACTATCTTCGAAACCTGACAGCAAAAAAAAAGATTGGTTAAGTATTTTATTTCTTGTTTTTCATGTTTATTCTTTATGTATAATTATAAGAGTAACTAAAATGTAAAAATAGGAATCATTTTAGGTTAGTTAAGATTAGAGTAGGTAAAATTAACAATATTACAATAAAAATGTTTCAGGAGGCACACATGAGTTGCACATTCCTCAAATTATTTACAACTTATATTGGCATGAATAGCAATTAGATACGGTTCAAAGGACAATAAAACAATAAAATTTAATTATAAATAGATGTACACTGTTACGAAGTTAGAGCTACTTAGGATAAACGAACGTAGTTTGATGTTACAATTTGAAGTCATTCTAGAAAGAAAAAAGGGTAACTTAGATTTTTTGTTGTTGTACTTACGGGGTCATTTGAATTGACTGATTCCATTTTGAGATAGGGTAGAGAAAATAACAGATAAACTATATAGCTTTATTGGAAAAAAAACGTTTGAAATGCATTTAGGAGGTTTTATGGATTACACAAAGGAAATTTGAGATGAGGAAAAGTATTTTTAATCTTAGCATAAATTACTTTGCACACAGACTATTCAAAATAAATACTCAATATATTCATGGACAAATCTTTATTTTATTTTATTCAAAATATTTCACTAAAAAATATGATTTTTTGTATGTGGAAGACTTATAATATTAACTGAAAGACTGCCAGATTTTGTGAAAATATACACTCCATATTGATAGTTAGAAGTATTAAATCTATAAAGACTTTAAATGAGTACAAGGAGGTCACGGGGTCGGTCAAATTGACCGAACCCATCTTGAGAGAGTTAAATAATAACAGATCAAAAGAAAGAACCAAATGACACCACTGTTTTTTTTTAACTCTAGTTAACTGTATTAAGACAGTCATTATTTAAACCTTGTAGAATCAAACATTAATATGCTACTCTGCTTTAAAAAAATAACATGACTAATTGCAGAATGCTTGCAATTATTAGCCATGTTTCAAAAATAAAAGAGACATAGACCATTTGGAGTTTGTAATTTGACTAACTGTTAAAGCCAAAATTTAGAAGAAATATTGATCAGTTTAAATTTTTGTGTCCAAGGGTCTTGCTGCATTTTTGAAAGCCATTGGTTATCTTATTCCTTTGATGGATGCTGAATATGCCAATTACTATACCAGAGAAGTGATGTTGATCTTGATCAGAGAGTTCCAGTCTCCAGATGAAGAAATGAAGAAAATTGTCTTGAAGGTCAGCTGTTTTTAGATAATACACATATTATAATTGTAAGTTAGAATTAAATTCATAGAGAAGGAACACACAATGGGTTTGTCATTCATTATTTTTAAGTATAATAAAGATAAATAGAACATTAGGATAAAGTTAATCAAGAAAAGAAGCCTTTGTTTCTGAAAATTACTAAAAATATAATATAATGTTAGATTGCAATGAAAATTTTTTATTAAGTAGTTTAAGGTTTTCCCCATGGAAGATTTTAAAGACAAACTAGTCATATAAATGTAGATTGTTGTTATATATGTAAATTTCTTTTGTAAACTGAGGTTAACATTATGTCAGATTGTGAAGTTTTAAAATGATGGTCAGTATACCAGGTTCCAAATTGTATATTTTATCTTTTCAGTTATGTGAATTGAAAAGCAGATATGATTGATGGAAATTGAGTGCATATCTCTAATTTCTAATTTAACAACAGAATGTGTATATGAAATATGTATAGACCTTTAGATATTTTTTTCATAGATAATGATGTAGAGAGTACTTTATGTTGGGATTGAATGATGCTTTTTTAATCCTAAAAGATTGTTTAGTTTAGATGTTATTGATTGGTTTGTTTTGTGAGTGAATATTTTATTAGTGGTTAGTTTCTGTTGTAGTAAGAGTTAAAAGCAGACGATTGTAGGAGGTTTTGTTAATAATTCATTGATGTTGAGATATTGAACGTCACGTGCAATACATTAATGTTGAGAATATATAAGGTGGGCAGATGATTAGGTGATAAAGATATAAATAGCATGAGATGGGTGGGAAGCCACAGACAGACAGATAATAGCAATAAAAAAAAAGTTACAAAAGGAAAGTGATACAAGTGATAAGCCTAACATATAATATGTTAGAGTAAGACCAGTAGAAATGGAGATAAGAAAAATAACTTATGCTGTCAAAGCATGGTTCTAAAGTAATTGAATCAGCCTGAGTGCACTTTGACAAAAGGAACAGAGGATCTTCAGAAGAAAGAAGACCAAATGATTATGGTAACTTGCACAACAATTGTAAGTGAATCACACACACAATACCAGTACAATACTAATAGAGAAGATAGTTTGTCTTATCAACTGAAATTCTAAAGTAATTTAATAGGCCTAAGTGGACTGTTGAGAAGAAGGAGAGAACTACATATATAGTGTTTATGTTATGCCTATAATATCTATAGTGTTGAAGAATTTGTTGTACATTTGTTTAACTTTCTCCAAATATGTATATTATTTTGAAAACAAGTGAAGTGCGTGTCTGTTTATTTATCATTGAATTT